TGATAATGTGTTTTTTTTATTGACCAGGATGATGAGGAACATAAGAAAGCTCGTAGTGCTGAGCTGGAATATGAATCTCTCAAGGTAAACACACACACTGTCTTCTATTTCTTTTCTTTTTTTTTCCTGCATTGTGGCAAACCACTTCAGTTTGCAGTCTTTAGAATTGATTGAGTTAATTGAAAAGCAGTGGTTGCTTTTTTGCTTGCAAAATTCTTCATGAAACTCACTGAACTCTCTCCAAGCTCACAGGTGTTGAAACACCTAGAAGTTGGACTTCTACCATAAAGCTAGATAAATGATGAGGAAAATAAAGCCATATATAAATCTCTCTCTCTTGTGTATTCAGCGTCAGGAGTTGGAGTCAGAGAACAAGAAGCTCAAACATGATTTGAATGAGATGCGTCAGTCTCTGAGAGGCAGCGCTGAGGCCGGTTCTGCCGCTCCAGGTTCTCCTGCTTACACGGTCCTGCTGGATCAGCTGAACGCCTCCAACGAGGAGCTGGAGGTGCGGAAGGAGGAGGTGCTCATCCTGCGCTCTCAACTTGTCAGTCAGAAAGAGGCCATGCAACACAAGGTCAGAAACAAAACCTTTCATTCTTACATAAAATATAGCAGGATTTCCAGATGTTTCTAAACAGTTAGTGCATAATACAGTATCTGTTACTTACATTATTCTCTTCATAAGTCTTGTTAACATCTGTAACTTAATTTCTCCTTTTGTCCTGTGTTGCACTCATATCAGGATGAGAAGGTATGTTGGTCAGACAGCATATCAATCATTTCACTTCACCTCTGTTCTGGCCTCTAAAATGCGTTGAAGAATTTACATTAAAACATACTTGCCAAGATGTTCTTTAAAGGGGTCTTATGATGCTATTTCAATTTTTCCTTTCTCTTTGGAGTGTTACAAGCTCTTGGTGCATAAAGAAGATCTGTAAAGTTGCAAAGACTAAAGTCTCCAAAATACTGTTCTTTTTAGCAACGTCATATGACCCCTGTAAAGGATTACTTCACTTCCAGAATAAAAATTCCCTTGATAATTTACTCCCATGTCATCCGAGATGTTCATGTCTTTCTTTCTTCAGTCAAAAAGAAATTAAGGTTTTTGAGGAAAACATTCCAGTATTTTTCAACATATAGTGGACTTCAATGGTGATCAACGGGATGAAGGTCCAAATTGCAATTTCAATGCAGCTTCAAAGGACTCTACACAATCCCAGACGAGGAATGACGGTCTTATCTAGACTTTTTCTAAAAAAATAAAATAAAAATCTATATACTTTTTAACCACAAATGCTCGTCTTGCACTAGCTCAACCTCACGCACTGCATAGTCACATTGGAAAGGTCACTGTCCAATGTTTACAAAGCGAACATCCAAAAAAATGTGAAGCATCCTTTACAAAAAAAGGTAAAACAACGATGTTGGATGATTTTGAAGTTAGAGAAACTTAGATTCTGAGTTTTGCCACCTACTCTACCTTTTTGAAGCAAAGTACACAGTTGAAGAACTAACCACGCATGACCTTTCCAACGTGATTATGTAATGCATGAAGTCGCGCAAGCGCATCACAGAGCTAGTGGAAGACGAGCATTTGTAGTTTAAAACGTATATAAATTTTTTTTTTAGAAAAAGTCAGATTGTTTCGCTAGATAAGACTCTTAGTCGCCGGCTGGGATCGTGTACAGCCTTTGAAGCTGCAATGAAACTGCCATTTGGACCTTCAACCTGTTGATCACCAGTGAAGTCCACTATATGGATAAAAATCCTGAAATGTTTTCCTCAAAAACCTTAATTTCTTTTCGACTGAAGAAAGGAAGACATGCACATCTTGGATGACATGGGGGTGAGTAAATTATCAGGAAATCTTTATTCTGGAAGTGAACTAATCCTTCAATTTAAAATAGTATAAAGCATGTCATCTGTTGTCATGTATGTGTGCTAATGTTAACTTTACAGTTTTAATGCGGTGATTTGTAGCTTGTGAATGTGAACCTCCTGCGTGTGTTTAGGCGACCATGACTGAGCCTTTGCCGTACATTGAGGATGTGCAGAAGCTGACTGATGCCAAGGAGATCTCCCAGGCCTACATGGGCCTTAAAGAGACCAACAGGTACATTACTTTTCTTTACATTTCTTTCACTGTCAGTCAATCACATGCTGAATCACAAAACATGAAATCCATTGCTGAATTTACTGAATGTGTCCCTCATCTGGGATCTACTCATACTGTATATGTTGTCTGTCCCCCATCTTTTTTACAACAGAGGTTCTTAAACTTGCATCCCCCAGAAAGCTAATGCTTCTCATATGTCACAATGTATTTGTGTTAGAAATTCAATCTTGAAATGTTTTATACACTACCTTTCAGAAGTTTGGAGTGAGTAAGATTTTTGAAAAATGTCAAGGAAATTTTTTTTTTTTTTTGCACCCTCAGATTCCAGATTTTCAAATTGTTGTATCTCGGCCAAATATTATCCTATCATAACAAACCATACATCAATGGAAAGCTTATTTATACAGATTTCAGATTATGTATAAATCTCAATTTCAGAAAATTGACCCTTATGACTGGTTTTGTGGTCCAGGGTCACATATTGTTTTAATTCTTTGAAAAGTTCTGGTAAAAGAAAATTTTTTGAATAAAAGTATTCATTTCTTCTTCTTTTTTTAAATAAAAATAAATAAATACATAAAAGAGAGAGAAAACCTTACTGACCCTAAACCTTTGAATGATAGAGAATATTACATAACTATGTAATAATGGTCTAATAATTGAAAAGTGAAAGAACTTCAGTATCACATAGGGAACACATATTCACTATTAACTATTAATTAAAGAGTTTTCCCTCAGTAAACTACTAAGTTGTTGCTTATTGAAAGTAAGTAAGGTAGTTGTTATAGTAGTTATGTTTAGATAATGGGTTGTGTTAAAGGATATAAAATATGGTAATGCAGAATAATGCCTCTCAGTTTGAGAACCTCTGTTCTATATTTGCTGCTGGTTAAATTCTTTGCAGTTTCTCGCACAGACCCAGTAGTGTCACATCTATCTCCAACCAAGGAAATGATGACTTATCACTCTCACAATCCTTTCACAAGCCTGTGTGTTTACCCTATCCTACCTACCTGTTTGGATCAGCCCTCTGTCTGTCTGTGTCTGTCTGTCTGTTGATGGCTCATCTCTGTCCTGCGCTGATCACCCAGGTTTACACGCAGACCGACTGAAGTGAACGAGCTTGTGAGCAGGTTGAGGTAACAGATGGACGGGCATGATGGGCCGCTCTCACTGCATGTGTGTGCAGCTCAGAGCAGAGCAGCGAATCAGCCTCATTCCAGAGCCCATACATAGACAAGAAAACATAAAACAAAGTCCAATTCCAGGCATTAACTCTAATATGAAGGTATTATCTCACATAGCCAGACCTTTGGCTATCAGCATAAAGTCTGGTCCTCTTTGCAGCTTATTATTGCCAGGCACCACCCTCTTAGTCAGGAAGACGTTTTAGAGGAAAGCTTATTTGAAATAGATTATAGACCAATTTGGAGTCACAGTTACATCACATGCAGCCGCGCGCATTTTGGTGGCAGAAAAACACTGGGAACAAGTGGAGGGAAGCGGGTAAAATCCACGGAATAAGAGAAAAAAAATTATTTTGTTCCTTTGGATGTCAGAATCGGAATGCAAATAATTTTATATAATACTGTCATCAAAGATGCCATTTGAAGCTAAACACAGACGTTTAAACCCGACAGACTATGGATGAAACCTGCTATGATTACCCTACTTTAAAGCATAAATTAGATTTAAACAATTGGTCTATATAATATTCACATAGGGGACATGGGACATATTGTATTAGCCCTACAGTTAAAGCATGAAATACTATTTAAACATATAACATTTTACATAACATTTACCTATTTTAACTCCCAATTCTTTACTTTTTTTTTTCTTGCAAATGCAAGTTTATCGTCTAGTTTGAACTCTATAACTTAATTAAACTCAACAATTGCGAGTTTGTCAATTCTGAGGAAAAAAAGCCAGAAGTGTGGGATTATAAACTCAAAAGAAAGAGCTAAACGCAGACGTTTAAATGGACAAACTATGGATGAAACCTGCTATGATTACCCTACTTTTAAAGCATAAATTTGATTTAAACAGTAGGTCTATAATATTCACATAGGGGACATATTTTATTAGCCCTATAGAGTTAAAGCATGAAATACTATTTAAACATTTGACATAACATTTACCTATTTTATTTTACAATTCTGACTTTTTTCTTGCAAATGCAAGTGTATATCTCCTAGTTCGGTCTTTATAATTGCGAGTTTGTCAATTCTGAGGAAAAAAAGCCAGAAGTGTGGGATTATAAACTCATGATTCTGAGCCGAGGGAAAAAGAGAGAATGACGAGTTGATTTTTCTTACCAGAATTAACTGATATAATCTCGGAATTTAAAGAAAAAATCTGAATTTTGAAATATAAACTCAAAATTTCCTTTTTTATTCCATTGCTTGCATAGACTGCTACGTTAAAACTGGCATTTTCTGCCACCAGATAGGCTCTGCCCACAAAAAAAGTAATCTCTGTTTTAGGGCTGCACGATTAATCGCAAACAATTCTACAGAACAAGCCCACAAAATCGCATTGTGTGGTGTCATTTTGATCAGATATTTTGTCCGTCCAAAGGTACAAAATAAATAAATAAATAAAATAAATTTTACAGTTTTGTGTGCATTATGCATCAGATTGTCAGTACTATGGTGGTCTGTGGTGTCTGAGGCTGAGTCATGCCGCCTTCTCAAAGCGTTAAATATCGCATGCGATTAATCGTGCAGCCCTACTCTGTTTGCAAACACTGAAATTGGTCTATAGCATGGCAATATAACAGTGCAGCAATTTTTGCAAACAATTCTACAGAACAAGCCCACAAAATCGCATTGTGTGGTGTCATTTTGATCAGATATTTTGTCCGTCCAAAGGTACAAAATAAATAAATAAATAAAATAAATTTTACAGTTTTGTGTGCATTATGCATCAGATTGTCAGTACTATGGTGGTCTGTGGTGTCTGAGGCTGAGTCATGCCGCCTTCTCAAAAATTTGAGCAAGAGTAATGAGGGCTTGGCTTTATTGACCCTGCCAAATAGATGCAGAACAACAAATTCAGTCTATTAGATTACTTTAGGTGATGGCTTTGCAGTTTTTAACAGGCTGCGACAACAACGCTTGGTCATGTGACTCAGTGTGTTGGATGAATGAACCTACACATGGCTTCTGGCTGACTGCTTTAGATGCCGTTTATTACTCATTATGCAGTGGACAAATAGCTACAGCAATTAAAGCAAATGAACAGATGACAAACTAAGTGCTTTTTTACATTTTTCAATGTTTGCTACATTTGCAGTCGTCTTTGTCATAATTATTTTATCTTCATCACTTACTCTGTTTGCATTTCATCTTTCTGCTGTTTTACTTAATACTTTAATTAGCTGATTGTTTGTCCGTTTCTTTGTTTTTCGTAAATATGTCATTTAATCAGAATAATCCATATTAATAATCACCCAAACCAGACAATAGTTCACCCAAGAAGGAAAATTCTGTCGTCATTTACTCATCTTTCTGCCATTCCAATCATAGAAGACTTTCTTTCGTCCACTGGAACACAAAGGAGATGTTTTGAAGCAGTAGTTCACAAACTGTGGTATATCAGTAATATATAATAGTGAAGCATAACTATACAAATATGTTTATTAGAAAATAAAAGTATTTGTAACTATTTTAATGCTTTTTAAGCTGTGCATACAAAAATACTTCAGAGCATCCATATTGTACATTTCAGCTTACAGTATATCCAAACATACAAAAATTTGCATGGAAGTGTTTTATTCTGTACAAATAATAATAGGATCTGGCTGGACAAAATTTTAAATTGATAAAAGAGACTCTGTTTAAAGATATATAAGGTATGAACTAAGTTTATTGTATCTATGTAATGAACAGATTTAGACTGTTAATTATCCATTGTAAATAGTTCCCTTCTCAGTACAGTAGCTCTCAAATCTAAGTTACATTTCAAATATTGTGTTCTGTTCCTCGCATACTTTTACATATATTCCAAATTGGGTGAACAATCCTCTTAACAAACCTGCAAAACTTATCCACTTCATGCTACTCTCATCAAAGTTTGTCACTTTTTGTTTCCATTTGTGTTTGTTTTTTCATTGTTACCATTTCTTCTTTTTTTGTTCCACCCCATCAGATCCCCATTCCCTGACTACCATAAGCTGAATGAGGATGGAGAACTGTGGCTGGTTTATGAAGGGTTAAAGGAAACTAACAGGTTAAAGAGCAGAGAGATAAGAGCATGTAGAAATGTGTGATACTTACCTAAACACTAGTGCCTGCAGAATGCTCTCCTTAACATATGGGTAGTGCTTCATGGTATCAAAACCTGCAAGAAAGAACTGTGTTGTACTGGACTAACCAAAATGAAATAGGGAAACTCTTATTTTAAAACAGCATGTAGTCACGGCTGTCATAAAGGAGCTATAAATAAAGGTGAATACTGCTGCACTACAAGAAACAATGGGCAGGTTTCTCAGCCTTAGTTGGAAATGGTTCACTCAAAAGTAAAAAGCTGGCCATTATTAATGCCTAACATCTTGTTCTGAATGTCAAGAATAATGTTCTTCCACACCATTATGACAAAGTCACAATATCAAAAACTACAAAACTAGTCTGTACAACGGTGTGATATTCCAAATCGCCTGAGTTTTTGCTTGAAACAACACAGTTACTAAAACTAGAAAACTAAAATTAAAATATACAATATAAAAATAAAATAAAATAATAAAAATGAAAACTATAATAATATCTTAAAGATACTAAAATTACACTGATCAGCACAATATTTTAGAAGTCAAATATGAAGCTTAACAGTGAATAACAACATAATCTCAATTTGATCCTCAGCCAAAGCTGTCTGCTATATGACTTCAGATGACCTGGAATATAGCACACAGATTGCATGTTCTATTTTTATGGTGTAATATCATTGTGTGGAAATGCTGCATAAAAAAATTTTGGAAATTGTCCTTACAATATTTAGGTTTAAAATGACGATTGTTAGTAAATAATGACAGCATTTTCATTTTTGGATGAACTCTTCCTTTAACGCTTCACAACAGAAAACTCAAAACAGAATCAAAAGCTCTTCTAATGAAGAACTGTGTTTCTGGTTATTTGCTCTCTCTGTCTGTGTAGGTTGTTGGAGTCTCAGTTGCAGGCTCAGCGGCGGTCTCATGAGAACGAGGTGGAGGTTTTGCGTGGAGAATTGCAGAGTGTTAAAGAGGAGAATAACCGTCAGCAGCAGCTGTTAGCTCAGAACCTGCAGCTTCCTCCAGAGGCCCGAATCGAGGCCAGTCTACAGCACGAGATCACGCGCCTCACCAACGAGAACCTGGTCAGTACAAACACACTACTAACACTTTCCTATACCAGTGGTTCTCAACCTACATCCTTTCCTTTTCCTTTCAACAGCATTAGGTGTCCCATAAATGTCAGTTGATAATTAGAGTAGTGTTATTGCCTATTTTTCATTATTAATTTCATTATTAGTTATTAGTTAGTAATCAGTCATTTTCAAGATGAAATTGTATGCAACCTTGCTTTTGTTCCTTAAAGGGGTCATAGGATGCTACATGCATTTTTACAAGTTGTTTGAACTGAAATGTGTGTTGGCAGTGTGTACACAAC